TCATGGAAGACATGAGGAACAGGGATTTGGGTCAGTGCTGTGACATACAGGCAGGATAGAATAGATTTGTGGATTTGCACAGGTACAAGCTGCCTGCTCTGGGCAAGAGCAGTAGCACTGCTTCTATGCTACCAAAAATACCAGAGCAGAAAAATTCTCCCTTCTTGCATAGCTTGTCTGGCCAGCAAGGTTGGGATCACTGCTCTGTGAGACTGCTGATGCTCCAGCCCACTTCAGTGCAAAGTCAGACAGATTACATTGAATCATCACTGAAGCACAAAAAATGTGTCTCCTAACAGTAAGTAATGTCTCTCTTCTACATTGCTTTTAATTTACAGAGCCCCAGTCAGGGCTGAGTTGTTCTATATGCTATTAATTAGCTGATCACATGCCAATGTTAATTTTTTTCAAATGGGTTCACTATTTATAAATGTTCACCAGTTTGTGCAGACACATGAGGGGAGGGAGGGACGTATTTACACCATCTACTTTTTGCAGATGCTTTGCAGTTCTCCTTTGGAGGGATTGACCTCTCTCATTTATCAAAGATGCAACTTTGGCTCCTAAAGCTGTTTGTATGGTATTCATCTCTGTACTGTGCCTGAACTAGAGTTGAGTTTAAGACTCACAACCCTCTCTTCCTCAGACTTCAGCCATCTAATGAGTCCAATCACCCTTGTTTGCACAGTGGGCCAAGTTAGCTGCCTGCCATTGTTACTGCTCCTTAAGCATAGAGAGTTCTTTTTTTACTTACAAGAAATGCACTTTTGGAATAGCATGGAATAGAGTAGTTTCAGTTGGATGGAGCCTACAGTGATCATCCAGCCGAACTGCTCAACCATTTCAGGGCTGACCAAAACTCACAGCACGTCATTAAGGGCATTATACAAATGCCTATTAAACACTGACAGCCTTGGGGCATTGATCACCTCTCCAGGAAGCCTGAATATAAATTTTAGGGTGAATAAATTTCATGTTAAAAATTGCTATACTTTTAAGCTCTATGAATATAAAATGGGATGCTAAGTGGCTTCCTAAGTAATAACACACATTTTTCTTATGTATTTCACAGAGCAAGCCAGCTAACTTTGGTACAATTAAGCCAACTCTGCTAGTAGTTGAATTGATTTTTTTTTGTTGGTCCAACCTTAGCCCTAAATAAACATTTGTAACCTTACATAGCCAGACACAATACAAGTCACCCTGGCTGAGAGGCCTTTGTTCATGGAAAACCAGCATTTGATGTTCAAAAGATGGAGTGGAACCAGCACGTTAAAGCATCTACTCACTATCCAAACAGTCCCTATTGTTACAGTTATTGCCAGCAATATCCTGTTTGTCACTGGGATAACACTTTGGTGAGCCTGCCCTAGAAACAGCCCTGTGGCTAAACACTTCCAGTGCAGGACTTGGAAATTCACCAAAGCAAGGAAACCTACTCAGGGCTCTGGCCTCCAGCAAAACCTTTTCAAAATGCCTTGAGAAATAACCAGACTCATAAAATTCCATGCATCCAGTGAAAGAAACCATTTTCATATCCAAGTAACAAATTTGCCCTCCCCATCTGTCTGGCATTGCTCTGATCCTACTCTACACCCGTCACATCCCAACTCTGGCAACAGGCCCTGAAGAAATTTGGTTTTGTGGACTGTGGGTGAAATCTGTGGCAGAATATTATTAGTGTGGAGCTAATAACTGGTCTGGACTTTTGTACAGTGCAGCTGCACACGTGCTGAGCCACCAAGAGCTTTTCTGTGCCAGGCACGGCTGCATGTGAGTTATAAGTGCTGTGTGAGCTGTCTGCAGGAATATCTGCTCCTTCCCAGGGTGACACTCAGCTGCTGCCTTGGATTTCCTTAGAAGCAGCTTGGGGCCCAACTTTTATAAAGTGGTTTCAAGCTCTTTCATGTGAAGGGCACTGAACGAGCACCGTGCAGATCTAATCCTGCAGGAACTCAGCTTTTTGCTTCCTCTGGACCACTCCTGTTGCTATGTCCACCTGCTTCAGCTGCAGGAGCTCAGGAGATGAAGCTGCAGCAGGGCAAGTGCACAGAGCTGGTGCTTCAGGGCCATGAACAGTTAATGCCTTGGCCACGGCACTGGTGCAGCTGGAGCTTTTCCCAAAGCTGGGCTGGAGAGCATCACTGTCTCCCCCCGAGTCGTGGCAGTGAGAAACTGCTCTGAGATCACCACTGGAATCCCTGGGTTTTAATGCTTCCCCTCCCCACCCCCTACATTTTCCATTGGAAAGAAGTGAATTGGTAAGTGCCCCAGAAGTCACGAGCAGGCTGTGACCTGGGGAGGCAAGAGGAAGCCCTGGCTAACACACCCCTGCTGGTAACAACACCTGGGTGGAAAACCTTCCATGGAAAGTGAAGCTTTGCAAAAATATGCAGCAATTAATTGCTTTTGAGCATTTCCAGCACAGAAATGAACCATTGAATCTGATGTTTTCAGCTTGTTTGGGAAAACTGAAACAGGTGGTTTCAGCAGTAGCAAGGACAGGGGTAGACAAGCCAGTTCCCTGGGGTAAATTTAAACGTGATTTTCCAGAGTCTCCTACACCTTTCAGGATCTGTCCATGTATGCAGCTTTCCCATGTGCTGTGCTGTCACCATGCCCATGGTACCTCTGTGACCATGGTACTGCTGTGCCACCTCTCCTTTTCACCATGGGCTGCCACACAGATAGATGTGGAAAATCCAATGGAAGATCCTAAAAACTGCAAGCTCAGGGGTAAGGTTGCCCCAAATGAGTTCTTTGCTCAGTCAATACCCACAGTATATTTTAAATAGGCTGTAGTATACTTTATGCCATGTAATATTTTTATGAGTGGGATTTTTTTCCAGCATTCTGCTCTAGAAGAAATTCCTACTGCTCAACTCCGTGTGCAATTTTGTAGTGAAATCAGTTTAATAAATGATGGGATTCCACAAAAAACTGAAATTCCATTTGTGATCAATGCTAGTTTTGACCACTTCCACTGGACGGGGATTGTCTCAGAACAGCATGTTAATATACAGACCTATTTGTCCTCTTTATGAGTTTTCTCATTGAAAATAATTTTATATTTATGTGCTATAGTACTTAAAAAGGCAGATAAAAATAACTGGAGATATTTTAGAGGTTAAATCTTCAAACCCTGAAAATGAGGCTTGATTTAAAAGTGCTGCATACTCCTTTCACCCCAAGGAAATCACGATTATGCTGCTTCATCTTCCCATCCTTCTCCCAGCCCTCGTATCCCTCAGTAATTTTTGAGCCCACTGGCAATTTCCATCACTCCTGACAGAGGAAGGGGAATCAGAGCAAGTCGCTGAGAGTCACCTGTGGCTGGTTAGGAAGGAGAAAGTCAGAGTGGTGCCCCCACAGGTGCCAGCCTGCTTGCCTGGCGTCACTGCCCTTGTGTGTGTGTGTGCACAGCCCCCAGGCACGTGTGTGCTCCCAGCTCACACCAAAACCACCGAGACTGGTAACTTAACCACATGGTCTGGCACCAGCTATGGCTTTTTCCATAGGCAGGGGCATTTGCAGGGAATGGAGGAGGGTGGGAGAGGGCAGTGGGTGCTGGGATCAGTAAGGGATGAGCAGATCTGAAGTTATCACAGGAAAGTGGGTGCTGTTGCAATATAAGGGATTTTGGCTCATGAAAGCACATATTTCCCAACAGGCAATATTCTGTTGTATATCTTATCTGTGGAAATGCTTTTTTCTACAGTGATCACTCAGTCTATCTAGTGGGAAGGGCAGAGAAAAGAGAGAGCTGCTTGCATTAGAAGTGACGCTGCCCACTCTTGTGGAGGAAAAGGTCTTCACATTTCCATGGATCAGATTCTGCAATTACACAGCTTTCTTGTTTGGCCAGTTCATCTGCTAAACCTGACACGGAGCCAGAATGCAAACAGGGATTTTTCCCATTACAGAATACCAAATCTATGATAAGCCACGCCATGAAAATTCAGTTTTTAAGGAGGTGGGGAGAGAATGAGGGAAACTCCAACTGCTGCTGCAAGATAAGCAATGAGTTTTGCAGTGCTTCTAGAATCTGTATGTCAGAGATCTCATTAAAAAAACCCGTAAGCCAAAGAAGCACTGTGAGAAGAAAAACAGCAGAATTGGGATAGTAAAATTTGAGCAGATGTTTGAACACCAGTTTTAGCCTATGAAACATCTGCGTGATAACTTTGGACACGGCTGAGTAAAGTCAGTAATTGCTACAGAAAGAGGCCTGTGAATATTGTACTCAATCTGTGGGTCTGTTCTGCACAGCAATGCAGTGAATATCATCGATGATCTTGATTATGTTTATGATTTTTTCTTCTACTATAAATTCCCCTACTGTGAAGGATTCAAATCAATCACCTCTTCTGCTTTTCACAACCTTCAAGTTGTAGTATTAAAATCTATTTATAGATGAAGTAACAAACGTCTCTGAAAGGAGTTATATACTGACAGCTTGGAAACAGACTATGCTGGTTTTCTCAAAGATCACTCCTTAAACAGGATATATTCTCAAAGATTATTCCTTAAATAGGATATAAATATTGTAATTTATGCATCATTTGCCAAGAGGGACAAGATTGTGATAGCATACATTTTTATATATATATATATATATACACACATATATATATAGTCTTTCTAACTGCAGACTGCAAAGCTCAGAACTTCAAAAACTAACCAATACAAATTGATAGAGGCTGAATTACATTTGTTGACCCAAAACACAGTGGATTTAACTGCACCCCTATTGCTTCTTATTTGCCAAAAACAAGACAAAAATCAGAAGCAAACAAATAAGTTCTCTGAATAAATCCTGCATTGCCCCAATTTCAGGATCTACCATCTAAACTGCCTGGCAACCATCCAGGCCTGAATGACATTCCCGGACTAGAAGTAACCCATGCATCCCTTTTGAGCTGTCCTCTCCTCGAGCTTCCTCCATCCCACCTGGCTGTCCTGCAGCTCTCGAATGAATTTCTTCCAAAGCACTTTCTTACCTGCATAGTGGTCAAACACAGTGGGGACATACTCCTCTGGGAAGGCGTCGTTGGCATAGCTCATCAGCAGACAGGTTTTCCCAACTGCACCATCCCCGACCACCACGCATTTCAGCATCTTCTTGGTGTTGTTGCTGCTCCCGTCAGTGCAGTTGTCATTTTCCTCCTTGCAGTTCATTCTTGCTGCTGCTGCCGCTGCTCCTGCTGCTCCCAGGACTTCCAAGTGCACATGAAGGAAAAATGAAGTGCGATTGTATTGACTTTTCCTGAGTTTGGAGAAGGAGGGGGGTCGGTTGGAGGGGTGGGGGGGGGGGGGGGGAAGCAGCAAATCTCAAACTCAGGAAATCATACTAATGTTTCCAGGCTGTCACAGCCGCTCCTAACAGTTCCCAGATCAGTCAAGAGGATCATCGAGGTGAATAAATTAAACACACGGAGAGGAGTATCATAAAAAAAAAAAAAAAAAAAAAAAAAAAAAAAAAAAAAAAAAGAGAGAGTGATCTGTCCTTTTTTTTGTTTGTCCCAGTCAGGAAATCCTCATCCTGCCCGGCCGTTCGCTGTCTTTTATTGCGACTTCAGAAATATCAGCAGCCTGCGGCTTCGATCCGCGTCTCCCTTCCTCCAGCCTGGCCGCAGGAACCAGGGATTCCTGTTAAATCCACTCCATTTTCCATTTCATTTCTACATGGAGGAGAGTCTGGAGCTTTTTAATGGAGTTTTTCCTTTCTTTCTCCAGCTTGCTGTGTGTCAGGAAATCATGGGTTTCCTGCTGAATTCCATATTAGGATCAGTGGGCTTGTGAAGGGCTGCAAACAATGGGAGCTCTGTGTGTATTTGTACTTTGGAGGAACTCTGCCAGGACATGGAGAAAGGAAAACACTAGAGGTCCCCCTGCAGAATGAAGTTTTTAGGCTCTCTGCTCCAGCTGCTCTCCTCTCCAGCACCGGCGAGGAGGATTTGGGAGAATACGGAATCCTGGACATGCACGGCCAGGCTGCGAGCTCTGCCCCTGTCCCAGGGACTCCTCTGACCCCAGGCACGACCTCCTCTCATCTCAAATAGGTATTTTCTCTCATTTGGGAAAGGTGGAGAAGCAGAGAGGAGGTATATTTGCTAGATAATGTCAACTTTCTGTCTCTATAGCTCTTTAAAGTGTTTGCTATAAAGAATAAATAACTGATTTTTCAGTTTACAAGCTCAGAAAGTTTCTCTTGCCTTGATCCCCCCATTTCCCCCTCCTAATGTAAAGACATAAACAGAGAGAATAAAGTGGAATTAAGAGTTTGAGAAATTAAAAAATCAATCAATCAAACAAACACGCCCCCCCCCACCCCTTCCCGTATAGCAGTCTGTGAAAAACCAGCTTTGAACTCCATGATTCCTGCCCCCTCCTCTGGTTTGTTCCTGTGCTTCACGTGCCTCCTAAGTCTTCTCCCCATTTAAATACACAACAATCTACATGTACACGAAGGGCAAAACTTCCCTCTCCTTGCACAGGAAAGATTTTGCAATTTCCAGCAGAAACGAGCCAGACATTGACACAAACCCCAGTGCAGCAGCCCAGCACATCCTGCTGGCTGCATTTCCCTTCCACGAGGCTGGAAGGCTTTGAGAGGGGGAAACACCCCCCTGCTGGCACTCCCCCGGTGACAAAGGCTTCCCCTGCCCTGCTCACACCTGATGGGACATAAATGCCCAAAAGATCACACAAGCTTGGGATAGTGCACACCTGGAAATGCAAAGACCAACACAGCCTTAGAAAGGAAGTCTTTTAGCCCCACACTGCATGAGGAAAGACAAACAAAGCCATAACAATGAGAGTCTGTAGTCTCTAAATGTGTGTCCTTCAATTTTTTTTTTGTGAAGGAGCACGGCAGACCCACTTGCAACCTTCCCTGGACAGGCTAAGTCTGTCAGAGCTCTTCAACGATCTATCTGTGCTGGATCAGCTCTGGACACCTTCCCCAAGAGGTGGCAGAATTATAGAATCCTGTAATAGTTTGGGTTAGATGGGACCTCAAAGATCATCTAGTCCTAATCCCCCTTCCACTAGACCAGGTTACTTCCAGCCCCATCCAGCCTGACCTTGAACACTTCAAGGGATGGGAGAGGGATAAAACATGTGAACAAGGTTTGTCTGTGCACCTGGAGAGCCCCAGGGAGCTCTGTTTGCTGTCTCCAACCAGGAGTCTTGACCATTCAGTAGTTTGTGCCCTGTGACCTTCACCTCATTCATCCCCCCCCTCCCTGCTGATGACAAGGATCAGAGCAGGCCGTGTTAGGCTCACCTGCTACCAGAGGCATCACTAAAATGTTTCCCAGAGTTGGGAGACCAGGTGCATCCTCCTAGCTCCAAACTGCAGCCCAAGGCTGAGCTTCATCCAAGAAAACCTGTGAGCTCTGGGCATCAGAACCCCCCTTCTCCAAGCAATTGCTCTGCTGATCACTTCCACCACCAGCAGCCTGGCTGGGTCATCCTGAGGTGCAGCACAGGCTACAGGGATTTACTCTTTAAGCTCATTTCTAGCTGTAATCGAGGTCAAACCCCAAGCCTGTGCTCTGTTTAGTGGCTGTGCAGCTGAGTAGGTACCAGCACCCTGATCCTCTCAGTGCTTTTGCTTACCAGCCTGGTGACCTTGTGGGGAAAGTTTGCCAAATATGTAGGTGCATGCTGTTGCAAGGTAACTGCAGAGCCTGAGGAAGAAAAACATTCCAACAATTCATGGTTCAGTTCCCCACTGCCCCTATCAGACAAAAGCAAAAGCTGTCCTGCTTCCCGTTTTACACTGGCATAATCTATCTGCCAGCTTTTTTCAACATCAGACATACTCCAGTTAAGGCAAGATTTAATGCTACTTTGGCAAGATTTAAGCCTGCAACAAAATCCCGGTGGCTCATTCCTCCCTGATCATAGCACTGGGCAAGTCTCAGCAGGACTGTGCCCACCTCCACTTCTTTTGCAAGAAATTAAATTATGAAATTTCCTTGCTGTTTTTTCTAGAGGATTAAAGTGGCCTTATTCTCTCTTCCCCCTTAAAAAAAAAAGGATCTTCCAAAATTTAAAGTTTTTCTTTTTGCTATCAAGGGGCTGAACTGGATGATCATAAAATCAGATAATCCCAGAATTATTAAGACTGGAAAAAATGTTCAAGGTCATTGAGTCCAACCTTTGCTCCATGATCACATGTCAACTAAATCACAGCACTGAGTGCCACATCCAATCATTTCTTGAACTTCCATGGGTGGTGACTCCACCACCTCCCTGGGCAGCCCATTCCAATGCTGGACCATCCTTTCAAGGGAGAATTTCTTCCTGAACTCCTTAGGTCTTTGCAAACTCTTCCAATTCTAAGCTCTGATGCATGGGACACTTTGTGGGGAACCAGTTTTAGTGAAAAGTGCATCAATAAAAGGCCTTATATCCCTGAATAATGGAAGTGGCTGTGAATCCAGAGCCTAAATAATGGATGACCTGGAACAAAACAACAGGAGGAGTTTATCTTGAAGGTGAGGAAGGCTGACATCTGACCTGCAAAACTCAAACTCAGTGCTGCAAGTTTGCTTTACCTATAGAGGTGATATGTGCAGCTTTAGAGGAGTTATTATGAAATAAGAATTGTAACCAGACTAAAAACACATGTTCTTTTTAATCTCATGACTTTAACTCAGTTTGGCACCATTTAGATCAGCTGGATTAAAACATTGTAAGAGCTGGTTTCGTTTCAGCAAAGTTTGATCACGTTGTTTTACACACTTTACTCAGGGGACTCAGAGAGCATTTACCCCTCTGCTGCTCTGGGGTTGTTGTTGTTTTATTTATCAAGTTGGCTCTGATTTTGCTGTGTGAATTAACAGGCCAGACCTGTCATCTAGCAGTCTGGCAAAGTTTGAGGCAATCCTGTTGCATTTTACAAAAGATTTGTTAACCTGCAAATGGCAAGTGGCAATTCTATAGGTTCAGCTCACCCTTCTGCACTGCTGTGCAAGTTTCAGCTCCCCTAAGAGCACTTCTGAACAATGGAGCTGCCTTCAGGCCCCAGCCTGGAAGCCACAGGATTATTGGTAATCATTAGCAAATGTCAGAAGGTCTAATGATTTAGTCTCAGTCCAGGGCTTGTTTTTGCTATTTCACTAATCAGGTTAGAATTGGTCAGATTTTTTCACAAGATTTCAGTCATTACCATCTCACAAATCCAACAAGAGCAGGCTGGTTACGAGCCACAGTTTGCAAAGATGTGTCTGAAGTAAAAAAAACCCCAAAAAAGTAGAGCCAACTAGTCTGAATGCTTGGAAATCTTGTTTAAATGTGTGTGTTTCTCACGTATCCAGCCCAGTTTGTTTCCCAGTGATTTTACAAGTTTCTGGCCAAGGGCTCCATGGCACAGACAGAGCTGGGCAGGTGCTATGAGCACCATGCAGTGAATACATCACCTGAGGCACTTTCTAGCCAAGATTCTCAGGCAATTTCTGCTCTAGATGAAGTGCCCCTGACCTTTTGTTAATTAATGAATTTACTGGCAGCAGACCTATTCCTAAGACTGCTGAGTATCTGCAGCTCCCATGCACTGTGGGGATGCATCACCTTCATCTTCATCAGCACAGGTCAGACAGGGCTGCCTGGGATTGTTTCCTAGGGGATTGGCAAGTTCAAGGCTGGTGCAAAAAAATTGGGTGAGAAGATCTGCAGGATACGAAGGACTTGCAAATTTTTAAATTAGCTCTGCAATTAGCAATATCTTGGCCAATTAACTCTATTCTGTATTTCTGTGTGGGCTTACAGGAGGAAAAATGGGATATGGTGCTCTGTCATGCTCTCCCTGCTCTCTTCCCCTGGCCAACCTGAAATCCCCACATTTCTCCAGTGCCTCCTGAAATGCAGTGGTCTAACTTTGTGCAATCTTACGAGTTTAAAACTTGACAGCCAGAGCAACGTTCTGCATTAACTCTTTTCCTCACCAGTCCTGATTGATTTTAAGGGGGGGTCTTACTCTTCCTTAGGTCTTGTTCTTCTAAATCCTCTCCTGCCTAAACCAAGCAGATCTGTCTCTACATTCTCATCCTTAAGAAGTTCCCCAGGGTGGGGGATTTTGAAGGTGACAACACTGCTGTGTGCATGTCTTGCTGCTAGAAATAGACACATTCAGCCACTCTCCTTCCACCTACCAGTGTTGATGATGAAATTAAGTTTCTGGCACTACTACTGAACTGTAAATTGATTTCAGGCAAATCTTCTCACGTTTTTCTTATCCTTTTTCTAATCTGTTTAGATCTTGAGTTTTTTAGGGCAGAGATTGTGTTGGTATTGGACTGAACATAGCAGAACTATATTAAGCTTAACTATCACTGTGCTGCTCAAAACCAAGTTTCCCTGGCCATAAAATTCAGGATCTTGCCTAGACTATGTTGTTGTAAGAGCCAGCCTTTTGTAGTTAAAAAAAAAAATCTTTGTGACTTCAAGA